ATGAAAATGCAAAATTTTTTATAATACGTGTTATTTTTTTTTTTAAGATTATTGTGATGATTATTTAAAAATATTTTTTTCGTTGTTTAAATAGATAAAAAAGTCTTATCGATAAAACTTATACAAATTTATTAAAAGTAGTCATCCGAATAACTAAAATGTGAAAAAATGATTTAAAAACTTTTATAGTATGTTTTATTTTTTCAGTATATTTTATTACGGTTTGATCACTGCTTTGAAAATATTTTTTCCGTTATTTATATATCAAAATAGATAAAAAGTAATAGATAAAAAAGTTTTGTTTAAATTCATGAGAAATGACAGTTTATTACAAAAGTCTATAAAATAAAACATAAAAAAATAGTTTCAAAAAATTTTAAATTAACTCGTTTTGATTTGTTCTTTTGATCTGAGATTAATAAAATTAATATTGAGATTCGAAAGTTTATTATATTTTTCATTTTAAACATAATTGAAATTTTTGAATTTACGGTATATTAAATTTTTATTAAAAATATTTTTATTGTCTCAATTGTTTCTGAAATTCTGAATGAAACTTGAACATATGTTATAGTACATAATTTTTTATGAATTTTTTACGAAAGAAAAATAATTTTGATTAAAAATTTTTCGATCCATGAATTTGAGGAATTCATTTCTTAGACATTTTAGAATAAAAAATATTAATGAATTATTTATAAAATTATTTAAATATTGCATTAGCATGAAATGATAATTGGCAATTGATATTCTGACGAACGAAGAAAATCTAATTTTCTAAAATAAATCATTCCTTTTCCTTTTTTTTTTTTTGCTTCCTCTCTTTTTATTATAGAGCAATTAAATAATCCTCGACGTATACAAGATTAATGGAAATCACATATAAAAATAAAAACACGAATAAGTAAATAACTTATTACATGCATAATCTAGACATTATAGTGCAGTGTTTCTCAACTGATACATCATATTAATATGCTACGAGAATATTACAAATATGTTGTATTAAAATTTTACTAAATATAATTAATAATTGAAACTATATGATATTTATTAATATCTGCAAAAAATGTTAATCCATGATTTTAAATAAATCGATTAATAATCAAAAATTGTTATTATACACGTCAATATACGTATACATTTATATATGTATTACGTATATCTATCGTGCAAAAGAATTAAGGATATTAATTTCTAGTTCTTTATATATGTGAAATTAACACTTTTAAAATTAATAAATAAATTGTCTGAATTGAGGAGAGAAATTGAGTATAATATATTTTAAATATAGTATTTCTTTTAAATAAAGAAAAGATATAATAAGTATAGATACATAATAAGCCAAATATATATTTCAAGAAAAAATTTTTCATTTTAACAAATATAATGTATTGCAAAAATCTAACTATAGTATAATTTCAATCATTATCATATTTTATGAATTTTATTCATTAATTATTGTATGTTCTTATTCTCTATATAAATATTTTTATATTACTTTTATATATTACAATATTTCTGTGTTACAATAAAACTTCCGTTATATGAACTAAAAATATTCACATAAGAAAATTTTCATTTTATAATGGAACAACATCTTGACAAATTTCATTTAAGACAAAATAAAATAAAATGAATATATTTTCTTCATAGAAAATTGAATTATTGCGTTAATCATATAATTTTTTTTAATATTTATTTTTTTATATTTTCTTATTTTATCGTATTAATGTTCTAATTCAATATATCCATATATCTGATAATTATCAAAATTCTATTCTGTAATTCTGTAAAATATACTGTTAATCCAAAAACATTGAGAAACACTGTTATAATGCAACGAACAAACGAACCGCGAGCATAACAAATTGTTGTCACGCGCCGTTGACGAAATTTGAAATTAACCGTTACCGGCTGTCGGTAAATTGCATATAAAAGTGCCTTGAAAAGAACAGTTCCGTTAAATGTGTTACAATTTTTACTTTTTGTTCTTTTATTTAATTTTTTTACTATTTCTGTCATCATTTTTTCCCCGTATATAGCAAAAAATGTTTAATTTGATGTATAAAATCGAATCAATTTTGCAACATGAATAGAAAAACGAAATGAATAGAAATTTTTAAGGTTATTTTTTTTATATGTATCTATGAATTAAACTAAGAAAATATGAAAAACATCATATAAATATAATATATAGTATAGTAAATATAGTAGTGCAAGATCGAGAATATCTCGAATAAGATATATAAGATACATGTTTTCAATTTATTTCAACCTGTAGATTCTTCCCTCTGAATTATGCATTTATGAATTATCTTGTATGTGCAAATCTTTTTTAATGCGATATTATTCCTAGAGAAGAGATGAATCTTTAAAGTTTAAAATTATAAAATTTATTTTGTTGCCCTATTATTAAAAAAATTATTTTCAGGTGAAATTATATTTAAAACATGAAAGAATACTGAAATTTTGAGAGTAAATTTCAGTTTGTCAGAGATATTTGAAAAAAATTAATCATTGTTCTTTATAAGCCATTATGTTTTATGTACATGTAACTTTCTATTATCTAAAATATTATCTAAAATAAGGATTTTTTATTTATTATATACTTTTCCATTTATTTTTCTTATTAAATATTTATTCTTACAAGATAATTATCTAAATATTTTGATAAAATATTATATATACTGTGTTTTTTTTCAAAAAAAATTCAACAAAATCTTTGAATTTTAATATTTATAGAACTTTATATTTGAAAAGATATAAGAAATTTAAAAATTGATTTCATTTTCTTAAAGAAAATTAAATTTTCTTGTAAGATAATATTCAAATATTTCTATGTATGATTAATTTGAAATAATAATTTGTTTATATGCCATAAAATATAATTTTTAATACGATTTCTTTAATTTTATAATACATTATAAATATTTCAATTATAAAATTTTTTAATTATGAATTTGTTATGATTTATTAGAATATATATATTTTTCATATTTAAAAATTCGTGTTTACACATCATAGCACGAGAGATTAGTTTCATTAATTAATAAATATATTAATTTTTCGAATAAATAAATATTTTTATTTTTTATTATTACTTCTCTGTTTATTTTCCTTGTTAAATAATAACCACGAAAATAATATTGAAAACAATCAATGCAAATTTGGATATATAAAATTTACAAATAAAATATTTCAAATAATTATTTTTAATACAAAAGTTAAAAAATTATTATTTCAATTCTATAGATGTATTTAATAGCATTACGCGAAGTAAATCCTCGAATATTATCTGTATTTACATTTTAACGAGATTCAAAAAATTTTCTATTCAATAATCATTTTCAATACTATTGTTTGAATTATATTCAACACTAATATTGATTCCCACTATTGTATAAGACTAATTAGCATTTGTTCAATAAGAGAAACTCATAAATGCCAACTCAACAAAAGATACTTTACCTCTCTTTATTTCATTTTAGTTATTTATTTTCTACAATTTTCTGCACGATGGCGCAGCATGTCGATTCGAACAAACGATCAAACGTATTTTACACGAAAAAGTTCAAAGCGATACTGCTTTTTCAAAGGACATATCGTATTTCATAACCTAAAAATAGATGAATCTCCTGAGACTTCTCTTTCAACGGTTACATACTCACCTACTATTATTCCACATTTTTCTCTCTCTTCTTTTTTCTCATATTCATCGTTTAATCGTCTTAAATTTTGCGATGTCGAGTGAAATCCGTGAAATGATCATTTTAAAGAATAAAGAAATCGTTAAAGAATCGTTAGTCAGCCTCTTTCTCAAACAGACAATCCAAATGATCACTAACAAAATAACGAGATCACGTACGTTTCAAATATATTGTACGTTTAGACTGAATAAAATGGTGGAAATTTTCTCGAGAATTTGCTTGAATACTAGCGAAATGAAGTTGGTTGCTTGCATTCGAAATCATGGTAATTCGACGCGATTTTCGACTGGATATAACTTCTCCTGTAATTTCGATAATATATTCTACGCGAAAGGAAAATGTCGCGCTTCGAAATCATATTTATAAAGGATTATTTGATTATTAATGATTGATTGTATTTTCTAATAGTTATTTATATTACTAAAGAGAATTATAGAATTCTTAAATTTTATTTTATTTTTTACTGTTTCATTTTATCTTTTAATATCTTTAATATTAATTGAATATTAATACATTTAAAAAGATAAATTATTTTAATATTTGTTACTTTATTTTATTTTTATATAATGAATTTTTTTCCTTTTCTTCATATGAAATTTTTAATTTCACATAATACGATAATATAAAATAACATAACAAATATTAAAATAATAAATCTTATAAACATATCATTACTTAAACAATATTTATTAAAGATAAATTAATATAACAAATAAGAAATGATATACAAATTTTGTTCGAATAATTATTTGAATAAGAATTTATTTCTTGAAATGACATTGTATAGTAATATCTGAAATATTATTTCAAATGTCATTTCATAAGTATAACTAGTAGATGTAATATTAATAGATTCTAGTATATAGTGTATACATTTATTTCTTTTATCTTTTAACTTTTATTAAATCCAAAAATTTTAGTGAAAAAATATGCATAGAACATAATGGATTATATATAAAGTCATTTTTTTTTTTCAGTATAAAATCTCCAAGGGCTTGAAATCTCAAAATTTTCCATTCTTTCATATTCTTTCTTTCTTTCTTTCAAAAATAATTTCTGAAAATAATTTTTATAATAAAATAGAATATCAAAACCTGAATATTTTATAAAATTTCTTCTTCTATTTTTTAAAATTTAACAATTTCTATTTCAATCTCTATCTCTAATTTATTCCTCGAAACTTAATTCTAACTCCACATTATATTTTTCTATTTCACGATCTATCATAGATAAGATCGAACTAAGCAAGAGAAGAAGAAATACACATCGCGGGAACCATGTGCTACGTACCTGGTGGCATTAATGGTGAAAATCGTCTCTATGGAACGGCGATCGATCACGCCACTAAGTAAATACTGAATGGCAATAAGAGCGAGGACGACGCAGGCGATCGCCTTGTAAAGGTGGGCACGATGCCACAGTGCCACGGCTGCGGCCACAGTCATCGCATGTGCGAGACACCATAACTCCCTCCTGTCGCCGTAAGATGAGTGCCGTATCGGACGAGGCGCTCCCTGCTGGCCGCTGTTTTCGTTGCTCCGCTGTTCTTCCACGACTTCTCCTTTCGAATCAAGAAGGACGCACCGTGCTGCCTCCTCCGTTCTCCTTCGTTCCGATCAGTGGACGATTTGGTGAACGAGTGGAAACGGCCGGCGGGGCTGGACCAAGGGCCGAAGAAAATAAAGGCCGCCCGGAGCTTCTCGTTTCCGCTCGCCAAGCGCATTACCCTCCGGCAGCGGTGCTCTCAGCGTAACGACACCTTAGATATATCCTGGAAAATAAGGGAAAAATCATCTTTGTTATTTTTACAATTGGAATGAATGCCGCTGAAAATGTTAATTAACTTGATAAATTCTTGAAGATCGTCGAATATTTTTCGTAGGGGACAAGGATTATTATTACGATGTAGACGATTGTTCTGATAAAATTTTTAGTATTGGAAAGTGGCGCTAGAGGTCAGGAACTTCGCAGGGAAAGAAGAATGGAATAAGGAATGGCGAGAAAATAAATTTGAAGAAGTTGTTATTAAAATTTTTATTACGTGTTAGTAATTTATTTTTATAAAAAAAAATTATTTTTTTATACTCGATTTTATGTTTCTAGTTAATAAGTTATTTTTTAATATACTATATTAATTGCTTTTTTTTTATTGATATTAGCAACGAGTGATTCTTACGTTTTCTTATAAATTTTATGAAATAACCTTTTTTTTATTCGTCACTTGTATAAGGCAATATACAATAACTGTGGTAATGAAAAAAACAAAAAAAACAAGACTGTAGATATTTATATATTATTCTAACAATAAGTGACAATAATAATGCGAAACCATCGTTTCATTTAAATATTTGTGTGGTGAATCTAGAATTCTACATGATCCTCGAAACTGACAAATATATTTGAAAAATCGTTCTGAATGAAAAATGCACACTTTGGATTGATTCTCTCGAGTTTTTGTAGTCTAGATATAGATGCATATACAATAAAACTGCGATTATCAGAACATTCGTTATCCGCATTCTCTATTATCTCAGTGTTCAATCCTTTTATAACACGTTTAATTTTTATGAAATCGTATTAAAACCAAAGGAAACCGTGAACAAAAATAAACATTCGTGATATATGAGAATTAAAAATTTATTAAATCGTGTTATGCGAAGGAAAAACTGTTGCAATTTTTGCATTGGATCATATAGCGTTAGAGGAAATTATCATTTCGCTGTTGGCAACACTTAATTTAAGTAACTTTTTCTTTGTGTATATAAAAATATAAGAGCCATATGAAATTTTTTATATTAGTTTTGTTTTAATGCTTACATTTGTATAACTTGTATTAATTAAAATATATAAATACGTAATTATGAATTATAAATGGCTCTTTCATAATCAATAACAAGAATTGACACATATTTATATTCTAATTGTTTATAAAACTATATTATTATTAAAACAAAATGTAAAATTGTTATAAGAATTACAAATTTATCAAAAGTTAAAAAAATAAAGAATTTTTGACTATTACTTTGCTATTGCTTAAATTGAAACAATATGACTGATGTAGTAAATTGATTTGAATAAGAGAAATAATAATAAAATGTTTTAAACAAAATTACTCGTACAAGAAATGCATTGTTGACAAAAATAAAGAGATATCTTCTTCTCTTGAAACATTCGAACAATTCTTGATTTAAAATAAAAACAAAAGGAACGTTAAAAAATTATTTATTAAAAACTCAATTACTGAATGATGGATGTAAAAATGTTTCTTCGTATCATTTGATCTAAAAATCCTATAAATTTAACGCAAAGAAAATTCTCGTTCTATTATTTAAGCACATTTATCTCTCTGTAATTTCGATAATTAAGACTCTATTCGATAGATAAAGTTGTTCAGTCAGATGACTATTCGTATCTACATGGAAAACCAGATGCATATCAGCAATTGATAACAAGACATAAGGAAAGTTAGCATTATCAACGATCAATATTTGACAATGATATTCACTGAATGCAAATAATGAAAACAGTCATATTTACATAGACACGAGATGATTACAATATATATATTCAAATAAATAATTATTATTAAAAGTCAAGTGAATGTATTTGATTACTCGTAGTTCATATCATTACACTTTCCATAACTCGAGAATGAAGATGAATCGTTCTCTCGTGTAATAAAATACTTTGTACAGAATTTCCTAAATGTGATTTTCCTATATTTAGCAAAAGTTACATCCCGAATATAATGAATATGAATATTCATCTTTTCGACAAAATAAGTGAAAAATCATATTACTTCTAAAACATGTTTCATTTAAAATAAAAGGAATCGTGTGATCTAATTTAAATAATAGAGTTTGTAATAAAAAGTTTATAATAATTGAAAAATACGACTGGATATATTATGTAGTTAGAATTGTGTATAATAATAAACGTGAGGTTGTGATCTTCATATTTTTTCAAACAAGAAATTCTATACTTATTTTAATATTAATTTCTGCAATGACATTCGTAAAAGTATTTTGTTCTTTTGATTAGTTAAAACAATTAAAAACTAATTATTTCTATGATTTATATCAATTAAAATTAGATCTTTTTGTAGGTAATATATCTTAAAAGATAGTACATGATAGAAAGAAGATAAAATTTTTAATATAAAATAAAATCCTTTATTATTAAATATATTACTTAAAAATAATAAATTCATTTATTGCACGTAAAATTATACATACATGGTTATATCTAATTAATAAATGTACGTTTATTGAAAATTTCTATCGACAAGATAAATTCCTATCTGATGAAAAATACGATTCCAAGAGTAAATTTAATCAAATGTTACAAAAATTCAACAAGTTTCTTCATAAAATGGAAAAATTTGATCGAAAGAAAAAGTCGTGGTTTAATTTACACAGGTTAAACAAAATAATTAATTATCTGGGATATCTCGATTGTTTTTAATGATATTAAAAAATAAAAGTTGAAAAAAAGTTGAGCATACATTTCGACATTATATTAAATTTTTTGTACGTGAATAAGAGCAAGGAATTATATCAATTTTTAAATGGAATCGTATATCTTTTTGCATTTAGTCGATGAAACTCGATATTCTCTACAAAAGAATATTAATTCACGTATATGTAAAAAAATTATTTATTTAAGAGATAAAAATTTAAATTTCATGAAATGAAATACAGAGAAAATATGAATTGACGAGTATTGGTTTCTTATCTTTGAAAAAGTATTACAAAATTTAAATTAATTTATCTTCTACATTGATGATTTTTCATGAATTTAGAAAATGATTAATGTATGAAAAATTATGTAATTTCATTTAAAATTGTCAAATCGTCTTTATGCAACGATTTATAAAAAAGTTAATAATATCAGAATATATCCCTTTCGAAATTATATAACTTTTATTTAAAACATTTTTTAATATTATTAAAATATTAAAAGCAAAATATTCTAGATATTTTTTGTAAATATATATACATTTAACATGAACCATTTAAAATGATTAACAATAAAAGATTTCTCTATTCTTTTATTTCAAAATATGATAAATAAATGAAATTTTAAAAAGATTTTTTAAAAAAAAATTCTAATAAAAAATATTGAGATGAGAAAAGATAGACTTTTGTCTTCATTTAATGCCACCGCCATTTTATTCTTATTTCAATCTCGTTTCTTTTAATTAAATTGCTTACATAACTTAAAAAACAAACTTCAACTGACATTTTTGTATATCAATTTTTGTGTTTGTTCTAATCTCGAGAATCGATCTTTAAAAGCTATTCCATTTAATATATCAACAATCTTGTACAGTATAAAAAAAATAGTAAAAAAAAAAAATAATAAAAAAAAAAACAGTTATTTTATTGCCACTTTTGCTTAAAAATAGAAAAATATTTTTTTCTTGATAAGAAGTAAAAAATGTATATTTTTATTAAATCGATGAAATAAGTATAATAAATTTTTTGATATATCGTAGAATTTTAATGATCAATTTATGTATATCGGATATACATAAAAAAAATTGGAAGTCATTGATACGTAGAAAATACACAGGAAACGATAAGCTTGAATTTGAAAGGCGTTCACACGTATGTATCATTGCAATATCGCGCGTGATAAAGGTCAATGTTACGTACATATTCCATGTAATAATGAATATGACGACATATTAGATAGCAAATCGGGGATCGAAGTGGAAAGTTTCAGAAATTCTCGATAAACATTCACTCATATATTAATGTTCGAAAAGTGCTCAATTATTTCTTCGTAAGAGAAAATTATAATACTAAAAATATTTCAATAAGCAAATATTTGTAATAACGTTTGAGAATTAATATCGCTAAATCACGAGCAAATTATTTACTATTTACACAGATTCGATATAAATAAAATATATTCCTTTTTTTTATTGAAATACTATGCGTCGAAAATAATTATATTCTATTTCTTCTTTTTTATTTTTTAGATATTGAAAATGGATGGAATTTTTTTTTTTTTTATGTAATATCACGTTATAATTCAACTATATGAATCATACAAGTGGTATAAGTCCAATCGACTTGATTCATATGGCTTGACTTTGATACTAATACGATAGTTTTAACGTAATGTTAAATTAAAAAAAAAAACATAAAAATGTACAAAGAAAATTATTTTTTTCTTAAGATTTCGTAAAATAATTTACATAAATTTGATTATCGTAAATTTCAAATAAATCATAACCTCAAAATTATCGTGTTATATAATATATAACATGATACAAATTCAAAAATCTATTTTCCCCCAGAAATCTAAGCGATTTCTCTGGTGCTAAACGAATTTGTCCGCACACAAAGATCAGAGAACAGGATTCAGGATAAATCTTAATTGGAATAATCAAACGTGCAAACGCGATCACTGCGAATTGTATTCTCTATAAACTTTGGCCCTGACTTTGAATTCGAGTACATAGTTAACCCACGCACGCTTGTAGCTACTGTTTGCCGAAGTTAGGTTAGGTTAACAGCCTTTCGCGATTACTGTCGGTTTACAATGTCTCGATAACAAGCAGAGTGTGCGTGAACAAATGATTTTCTTTAATAATGTAATAAATGGCAATTAGACAATTCACTTGTTTGTCAAATTAATTCGATTTCGATTTATTAATATTTATACAAACATAACTTTTAACTATATAAATTTTTTATGTTTTCACAAAATTGTTTTCGATAAAGTTTAAAGTGAGAAAGAAAGAAATACTTCGAATAGTAC